AGAGCAGTTGAGGCAACTAACGCACCAAAGGAAATATTTCTTCCTATAGTTCAATTAAAATAACCCAAAACAATTTTACGAGGAGGGTGAAAAATTAATGTTATCGTTAACGCTAAACTAACCCCCCTTTTTTTTTTCCAAACCTCCCTGGGTAAAGCAATTTAGCATGAGGAGGTGAAGAGGGCTGTTTTGTAAGTATCCCTCTCTCAGTGCTTAATACATTCTTTTAACAGCAAAATTGTCTGCAAAATAAACAATTGTCAAAATCAGAATCCCTTTATTTCTATGGGCCAGACTTTGACACCTTCAGTCAGTTTGATCCTGAGTCTCATTTACATAAAGGCTGCTTTATACCAGTCTAGTAGGGAAAAGGAGCCTTAAAGGCAGGTGCAAAATAATTACATTAACACTCACTTCCATTAAGTTTAATTAATTGAATTAATTAACTGTAGCAATGTAAAAAGGTCCTTTGTGCAAATGAGAATTAAGCCCATTGCTTTAGTTTGCAGACAGTTCTGTTGACTTCCGTGAGAGAAGTTATGGAGAGAGGTGTTGCTCGTTGTTAACAGAGCTAGTGCTATCCTGAGTTCAGAGTATGCAGGTATAATATGTTTGGAAACACATACAACAGCAATTTGGTACAGCAATGCCTCCATCTCCTTCATTCCCCATTTAAAATCTCCAGAATGAATGAAGCTTTTTTAAAAAGCAAGCGGCAGTTCTTTGTAGGAAGAAATTCATTGAATTTCGGAGGAAACTTATTTTACCTGCCTTCTTATGAGGGCTACTCATGTTGTCTTCAACACTTTGCAAGCCGTTTGGACCGGCGTCTCAATAAAAGCGGCAGATCAGGTTTGGATATACCCCTGGTCCCCAGTTAAACTGCTGTTTTGATGCTGAGAATGGCACAGTGGGATGAAATATAAAGGAGGATAACTCATAATGAAACCTCTGCCCACCACTTGCGTGCTGAAGTGATTAGGGGGAATGACTGTACGTGGAAGCAGTCCAGTTAAGAAGAGAAGGAGCTGGTTTGCTTCTTGAGAATGTTTGAACTATTTATATTGTACAAGATAGAAAACATTAATAGGACGTTAATCAGTACATAGTCCTGGTTTCAGATTGTATTATTTCAAAAGATTCATAGATTCTAGGATTCACAGATTCTAGGACTGGAAGGGACCTCGAGAGGTCATCGAGTCCAGTCCCCAGATCAGCAGTACTAATTTGTGCTATTGTAAAGTCTATAGCAAAGGTGCTATATATCGGGGTGAACAAACTTATTGACCCTCCGAGCTGCATATGATACTCTTCAGGAGTTCGAGAGCCGGGGTGCATCTGCCAGGCCTCGGGGCGTCACCTGAGCCCCGGGATGTGAGGGTAAGGCTGAAGCCCTGAGACCTGTCTCCCTGCTGGGTAGAAGCCAGAGGTGACTTGTGTCGGGGGGGGGGGGGGGGGGGGGGGGCGTGTGGCCCCACATGCCCACTCAGATTTTTGCCAGGGTTTGCTGGCCCCTCCTCAGTGACGTGGTACTGCCAGGCCACCTCCCTGCACGGCAGCTGCTGGAGCCGGCAAGCTGGGAGCTGCGACTGTGGGCAGAGGCAGCAGCAAACCGCTGGGAGCTGCAGGGAGAGCTGCTGCGCTTGCTGCTGCCTTTCCCCGGGAAGTTAAAGCCGCTGCCGCTCCCAGCGGTTTGCTGCTGCCTGTCCGCGAGGAGCTAGCACCTGGGAGCTGCAGGGAGGGGTCGCTGAGGGTAAGAGGGGGAGCATGCCTGGGGGGGGCCCAAGCTGTGGGGCGTGAACCTTTAAATTGTGCCCCCCCCACACACACACTCACTTTCCGAAGGCACCAGTCATCTCTGGCAGAAGCTTCTAGTCCTACCACCCTGCTGCAGGACACAATCCCCATCTCCCTTATTCCCCCCCACACACATACACAGTCTGGTAGGCGGAGAACTGCACTTTAACTGTAAAAGAACCGCATGTGACTCACAAGGCGCAGTTTGGCCCCCACTTCTATATATAATATAGTTAAAATTCGCTACGAAGGGCCACACCCTGCCAAATCCACTTGGTCCAAATTCCCAGGGCCCAATTCACCTTACACCTTGCACAGTCATTTACACCAGTGCAAAGTGGGTGTAGAACAGTAACAGATCAAGAGTGGTAACATTTTATATCCACTTTTTCTGGTGTTAATGATTTACGTAAGTTGCAGGTCAACTGTGAATAGGCTAGTAAGCTTCAGTGGGCATTTGGTTCATGTAAGGAGTTAAATATTTAGCCACATGACTGTTGGCTTGAGTTTTGCCTTTGTAAAAGCCAAAGAATTTTTGAGGTATCATCAGACTAGTCCACAAGCAGAAGGACCTCAGAAAAAGGAATAATCTGTAACCATTACCTAGTCTATTTTCTTCGTGCCAAGGGGTTGAAGTTAATGTATGGTACCTACAGTTAATCCAAGAGCATATAGACACCTCAGTTTACTCTTCTAGGGAACCACACTCTTCAGAAATTTTGATTGTTAGTTTGTGGTTTTTTGGAGGGGGGATGTCCAAGGTGTGAAACACCTGGATTTCACAGTGGTTTGGAGGGGTTTCTATTTTTTGCTTGGGAAGAGGGTGAGGGGATGTTTTTAAAAAATGTTTTGAACTTCTGCCATCACACATTTACAAAAATATAATGTATATTTAAGTTTTTTGGTACTAGAAATCTTTTTTGGTGACACTTCATATTAATGTTACATTTATAAGTAGTTTATAAAGGGTTACTAAATGATGAATAGAGGTTTTAATAAGTGGCTAATCAATTGTTATATATAATTATAAAGTCCAAAAGGTCAAGAGATTACTTATAACAATCTATATCGCGTTCTACTGACACGCTTATAACCATCAATGATGTGTACAACTCATGTCTGTAACGTTTATTGCATCTATTACTCATTTATTAACCCTTCATAAGCCATTTATAAATAGAAACTTAGACTTCTCAATTTTGGGTGTTCAGCACACTATTTCAAGCTTATTGAGAGAAATGGAACACCCAACCCAGTCCCTAAAGCACATTGTGAAAGTTCAAAAAAAAATAGTCCCCAATTACCATCAGCGGTTGGTTGATTGAAAAAATGAGGATTTATGGCCCAGCTTCTTAATAACACTCAGTCATGCTCTCAGGAAGATTACATTTCTAAATTTGTATCCAACACACATGATGGAATTTGCAGTAGACATAAGAAGTAGTTTGATGAAAACATAGCATGCATTTTATACAACGAGGGGCCATTAATCTTACAACAGCAATTGACGAAGGTTTTGGAGGTATGTGACAGATTACAGGTTGATGACAGTCCTGTTGCAGATGCCATGTAAATGTGGTTTAATGTAATTAACGACGACGAAATGAAACCACACACAGCAAAATTGGAAAAATGATTCAGTGAAGCTATGGAACCTTTCCATTACTTAGCCAACATGACTGATCCTAAATACAAAGGTCTTCCGTTGAGCCCAGAATGGGGAGAAGAAGCTGAAATGTGGCTGATGGCACATAGTTGAGTTCCTTCCCTCTCTTTTAGCATTTACAAATGAAAGTCCAGATTTCTTCCTTAAATCTATGTCTGGGAAGGAGGTTGCGTCACAGATCATTGCCCCAAAAGGGGGAAAAACTGTGGAACTAAAATACTAGAAAACTGGACAATTGATTACAGAATGCGGTCAATTATTTTTAAAAAAGATTAATACTCCTCTCCAGCCAGCTCATTATCAAACCAAACATGCCTTCACCACATTGAGATTGATTTGTAATAGGAGATGAGCTTAAAAAAATAAATGATACTACTTGTATGCTGAAAGTTAGGAATATCCTTAAGTATCTTGTTGAATCACGGCCTTAATAAAATCATCTCCGTGTCTAAGGCCCTAATTCAGTAAAGCACTTACGCATAGGATTGATATTAAGTATATGCTTTGATCCGATTGAGTTCCTTTATAACCAATAGGGCTTAACCATATGATTAAAGTTAAGCACGTGCTTAAGTGCCTTGTTGAATTGAGATAGACTAAGTATGTTACAAAGTGGATCACGTTGTGTAAGTTTTGTGTTTCATTTCACAAAACCTTTGTGGTTTTTTTTCAGCTTTCCTACTTTATTATTATTAATTATTTATTTAATGAAAAACTGTGTCGTTTAGGTTGGGGGGGAAAAAATCACAACCATCCCAGGTTTAATCAAACCTTTAATATCAACACAAATGATTTTATTAAATGCTTATTCATTTCTACTTTAAGACAAAACTCTCATAATGGAGATAACTTTTAAATAAAAGTTATTTAAAACCCAACTCTGTTTACTTCTCCTTTTTCTAGGTGCAGCTTTTCTCACCATGTTTGCTACTTACCAAAGATATTTGGGCATGATTCTCATCTACACTAAAGACCCTTTGCATCACTCTAGCAGTGCAGAGGAGCCTTAAAAGGGGTTTTAATCATTTAAAAAAAATAGGAAAAAAATTGTTGTTTTTTTTTACGTTGAGACCGTGATATCTATCCAAAGTAAATGTTTGTGACTGTTCTAAACCCCTCTGAGGATGGGGCCTATAATAAAAATATTTGCAAGCCACAGAGATAGCAGCACAGCAGTGGGCTGACATTTTCTATGGTGATTAGTGGTTTTGGTTGCCCAGCTTCAGATACCTTTTTCAGAGGGTGGATGCTCAGCCCTTTCTGAAAATCAGGCCTCTTAAAGCATCTCCGATTGGTGCCCAAAACTGAGGCACCCAAAACCACTGTTGAAAATATTGCCCACAATCATCATGAAGTGCGAGCCTTTAGCATCAGCAAGTCCTATGTTACAAAGAGATTAAATAAAGGATCTGTGGTGGGTTTAAATTGGGTGATAGTGGACTTAGATATGGCTGCACTATATTCTGTTACAAGCAATAGGATATTGGGTCTGTGTGTTCTGTGTTCGATGGTTTCTTGATGATTCTCTCCACTGTAGGTGAGCGCCCCTTCCATTGTAACCAGTGTGGAGCTTCTTTTACGCAGAAGGGGAACCTGCTGAGGCATATCAAGTTACACTCTGGGGAAAAACCGTTCAAATGTCCCTTCTGCAGCTATGCCTGCCGGAGAAGGGACGCCCTCACAGGACACCTCAGGACGCACTCTGGTGAGCCTCCAATGTCTCCTCTTCCTTGTTGTTTCCTTCCTCGTGACTGTTAAATCAAAGTAGGTTATGAAATTGCAACCACATTTCCTGCTGACTGAGTTCTGGGCTCCCAGATACACCAAGTCCTGAACTCTGGGAAACCGATAATCCAAATCAGGACTCTGTGGTTCAGATCTACCTCTTGTATGAATGAGCTCCTGCATGGATGCTGACACGTTTCCCTTTGCACATCTCGTTAGATGCATCCTGACTTTGGCGTTAGATTGTGTCGACACCTTAAGCCCTGAGCATCTGTAAAATCCCCAAAATGATCAGAATAAATTAGCTCATTTAAAACTGTATTTTACTATTCATGTCACATTCCCTGTTGGCACCTAGTAACATTGGTAAGATTCATAGACACTAATTACTTGTAGGGCTCAGGCATGCCATTAAGCCACAGTGCTTCCTAAAGCATAAGAAGGATGCAGCAATTATACCCCCATTGGAGAGAATGCATTGTATGCTCCCCCCTGTTCAAACCAGCTCCACTGGCGCTATGGTCACATCCTTTCAAACCCCCTATTGGCTCCCCCAAGGAGTCCAGTGCTGTCAGTGGCACTTGACTATAGCAGTCCCTGTGTTGAAGGTCATGCATGTTGTGTCTGGCCCCTGCACACGGGCATCTCAAGGGGCTAGACTACTTGTACCTTCTTCACCCAACTTCCTCACTTATGGGGTAGCCAGACACAATCAACCCCTAAACCCCTGAAAAAGTGAAAATCACCCACCATTATCTGTCCCCCTAGAATGTTCATCTTTTGGGGGGATATCATTTACGGGAGACTGTGTTTTTTAATTGTTGAATGAACAGAGATAATTAGACTGTCTGGAAACTGTTCTACTTCCTTTTTACTGATGAACTTGTTTAACGTATTGTAATATGTGATTCTTGGTACCCAGCAGAAAATACATATGGAGTATCATGCGGTGAATTTCACACAGTCTTCTGACCATAACCGCTTGAAATATAGTGAAACAAAAAATATTTTTATTTTTAAAAATGAATCATGACAAAAAATAACCCATATTACAAAAACACACTCATTATGGTTTAAGATCGTTTTTATAAGATGACTATAGATATTGTTACCTAGATATAGGTTCTTCACATTTCCTGTGTGGAAAATATAAGGCGGATCTTGTACTTTTTGCATGAGGATGAAATGTTGCTGTTCAGTGGTGAGATTTTTCAAAAGTGCCTAAGTCACTTAGAAGTATAAATCCTATTGGAAGCCAGCGGAACATGTGCTCCTCAGTGATTCACTTGCACTTGCAAGTTCTGCCTTCTTAGTTTCAAACTCCAGTTTCATTTGAGGGAGTGTCTTCTATCTAAGAGATGGGTTTTTTTGTTTTTTGTTTTTTTTACTGACTCCCCTCACTGCACTATATGTTAATAGATTGGTCCTAATAGTCTAGAAAAAGAAGCTGATCAAGAAGTCTAGTAGACTTCATAGAGTCTTTGCCTCTTCTTCCTTCCCTAGTCATAAAATGAGATGCGTCAGAAGTGAAACCTGGGAATGAAGATAATGATGAAAGATGAGACCTCAGTCTGGTCTGAAGTGAAAGCACTACACTTTGAGCCAGATCCAAGTTGGGCCGGTTTAAATCAGCATTGCTCCACTTAAATCCAGAGAGCTATGCTTATTTGCACTGCTGAGGATCTGGCCCATTATTTCAACATGTGTGAAACTCTTTCCCTTAAAATGAATTTTAATAATTAAAAGGACACCGTCAAATTAAACATCACATTTTTCTCTGAAATATTGTTTACATACTATTCATAACAGGAAACACCCAAGAGTACTATAGGAGAAAGAGACTGGTGAATTTTTTTTTTAAACACCTAATTTTTCAGCTTGTTTAGTCTGTGATTTTGGCGGCACTTTGTGTTTATGACACCACTTAGCCAGTTTCACTGTTTCCCTTGTGTAATCTATTAGTCAGTTTTCCCCTCTTCTGTGTGTGGGTCTTTCACACAACAAAGGAGGACATTTTAAAAAAATAGGAAAATGTGATTGTAAACCCATAGAAATTAGCATGTCAGAGGCCGCTAAAGTACCTGGAACTTCTTTTAAAGTGAATCGATTTTGAGTTCATATCTTTTACTGGATCAACTTCTGTTGGTGAGAGAGAGAGAGAGAGAGAGGCTTTCAAGCCACACACCTTCTTCAGGTCTGGGCAAGGTACTCTGAGCATCACACCTAAGTGCATTTAGCTGTGATACTTGTCTCTCTCACCAACAGAAGTTGGTCCAATAAAAGATATTGCCTCACCCACCTTGTCTTTCTAATATCCTGGGACTGCCACAGCTACAACTGCACTGCACATAAATTTTGAGTTGACAGTTTCTCTTTTTTTTTTTTTTTTGTATTTCTATTTTCTTTGTACTTGCATAGTATCTTCATCCATGGATCTCAGTACTTAGAAACATTACAAGCTATACTGTGCCACCCTTATTCGCTAGTACTTTACAATGCAAGTCGCCCCAAAATTAAAGTATTACTCAACGCATAGGTACCACTGAACATGTGTAGTTCTGGCATAATTTAGCCTTAAATAATTAAGGGTTTGAGCCTACAATTATATACTACTGTGATTATTTACCTTTTACTGACATTTGCAGTTCCACTAAACTACTGTGTATATATTTTCTCCCATCTGTAGCCCCTTTGATTTCAGGAAGGTTATGATGTCCATACAGGATATCCATAATCTTATGCATGGGAGTAGACTCATGCATTGGACTTCACTGGGACTAGAGAGACTCATGGGAATTCAATAGGATAGTAACTATTTGGCGTATTGGACCCACAGTCCCACAACACCGCTGTGACACAGGTATATGCTGTTCTATGCTCATTTTACAGCTAAGTAAATTGGGGCACAGAGAGGTTTGTTGTTCCAAGATGTCCAACAGAATTGGGTATAAAGCCCAGGAATTCTGACTCTGGCCACAGTCTAAACACCTACTTTTCTGTACAGTTTATGTACCCAAGGAAGACTTCACAGGAAACAAAGATGGTGCCATGGCAGTGCTAGTCGGGAGCCTTGGGTTCTGTTCCAGGCTTTTCCTCGCACTTCTCCTAGAACTTTGGGCAAATAGTTTATAGCCTGATTTTTGAGATTCTGAAAACCTAGAACTCCTATTAAACTCCTTGCTAGGCTGGATACTCAGCATCTCTGAAAATCAGGCCATAATTAACTTCCCTATGGCTTAGTTTACATTTGTACGATGTAGGATAATATTTTCCTACTTCACAGAGGTGCTGTTAGGCCAAAGTAGTGTTTACCTAGTGCATTGAGATCCTCAAATGTGTGTTATGCATTTTACCAAAAAACAAAACAAAAAACCAACAACTATGTTAAAAGAGCTTTAAGGTTGCAAAGTCAAGCACTCAAAAATTAGGAAATACCACTATTAAGGTTGCTGGGGCAACCTTAATGTGGCCTCCTTGGACATACATATTATAATACTGTCTTTAATTACATGATCACATACTGTTAGGAATTCTGCCTCATTCAGTACGTGGATGGACTTGCTCTGGGAATGAATTAGGGTTGTGCAGTGAAGGAGGCTGTCGTCTTTAAGAGCCCTGCATCATGTGTTGCAGAAGTTGGCAGGTGAGTAGTGAATGAGGTAGAGGATTACTGGAAGATAATGGACGATCTCATGGTTAAAGCACTTGAATGCTGCCATGGAGAATTGGATTCTATCCCTGCCAATGCCACAGAATTCCTAAGTGGTGCTAGACAAGTCACTTAAACTAGCATTTCCCAGGTGGACACTAAGACTGTGTTCCTCATTTTCTGGGAGTCTGATTTGCAGAAGTGTTGTGCACTCGTAGCTTCAACTGAAGTCAATGGGAGCTGTGCCTTGAACATATAAAGTGAGATACAGTGCTAAGTAGTCTGAAAAATCAAATCCTCGGCATCTCAAATTAGGCACCCAAAATTAGTGAATACCTTGGACCTTAATCTCTTTGAGCCTCAGTTCCTCATCTGTAAAATAGGGGTAATACCACCCCTTCCCTCACAGAGGTGTTGTGAAAATAAATTCATTAATGTCTGTGAAGCACTCAGATACTCTAGTGATGAGTGCCATAGAAGAACTTATGAGGGAATTTATAATTCTGTCTTCAGAGTAGGGTTTGAATTCTACGTAGTAAATAAGGCCTGGGCCTCATATAGAACAACGAGGAGAAAACATAATATTGAATAGCTGCTCTTTAAGTGTCCATCTTGTGCACTGAATAAGGCAGGGGTCCTGTGGAAAAAATAGTATGCGATCATGTAATTACAGACTGTGTCATAATGCTTATGCACAAGGGGACTGAATTAAGGTTACACAGGCATCCTTTATACTGGCATTTTCCTGATTTTTGAGTGCTTTGACTTTGCAGCCTTAATAATGTTCTTTTTGTGTGTGTTATAGATAACAAAAAAGCCTACATTAAAAATAACATTATATATAGATATAGATATATGAGCTATATAGATATGGATATAACACAAAGAATTACTGCTGTAAATGTAAAGTATGCGTCCAGGGTATTTTTTTTCAGTTTTTAAAAATTTTATCACGATTGTTTGTAACAAATATTTGTTTTGTTTTTTTTCTTCCCCTATTGTACTTGAATGGTGTTATTATAGAGCTGTTCAATAGCACTGAACTAATGGTATCCTTTTCGTTTGTGAAAGGAAGCCAGTGAAGCATTTGTTTTAAAAAGAACAGCACAGAAAAAATTGCGTGATCTTAGCAAAATCCATACAGCATCTAAGAAAAATGGCATACCTAATTGGGAGGCTCACTAGCCATGAAAATATCCATTTACGGAAAGGCAGTTTTCTTACTCTGCTTTACACTTCTTGGGTTGAAGTCTCATTTTTTAGGGCCTTGATTGCGAACCCCTGACTCATGTTGATGAACATTCACCAAGCCAGTAATCTCACTGAAACCAATGGTTCTACTTGCATGAGTTAGCATTCTTCAGGGAGGAGTAAGGGCTGTCCATTTCAGCCTTCTGTGACACCCTGGGCTCTAGTAACTGGAACGCGCTCGCAGTGGAGTGGAGCAGGTAAAACTTTGGGTATGGGCATGTGTGGACTGGGAGCTAGGAGGAATTCTAATTCTGCCTGAGCTAATGACTCAGTCTGAGCTTTCTAGTTTCTCAGTCAGTCCAGCTGGAATATTGCAAGAACAAGCACAGCACTGAAAAACACATCACCCAGAGGTTAGGGGTCTATTACAGGAGTGGGTGGGCGAGGTTCTGTGGCCCGCGATGTGCAGGAGGTCAGACTTAACGATCATGATGGTCCCTTCTGACTTTAAAGTCTGTAAAGCTGTTGCCACTTTGGGAGATTTGCTATAGACATCAGTGGGGGCAGGATTTCACTCAGTATTTTAAGCTGGATTTGCCTGCGTTGAATACATTATGGATAGAAAAGAAGTTACACATGAGCCGAGAGCCAACCCTATGGAAAAGAGAGGAAATATGTGATACGCATGTAGGGGTTGGTTTGTAAGGCTCCAGATCCTCCAAGTTATGTACATGTCTACCTCTCGTTTCTTTCAGGGAGAGTTAGGTGCCTATACACCGGTAAGGAGCTGCTTCCACCACCAGCTTACAACAGTGTTTGATAACCCGTTGAGAGTATGTTTTGATGATCTAATGCACGTAGCTCTATTTACTGGGTGCTGCTTCTGCAAAATGAGGCAGGACTTTCTCTCTCTGCCTGTTTTGCTTGTGCAGTTTTGGTTAAAGTCAGTGGAATTAATCTCTTACTCGTAATGAAATTGCTTTGTTATTTGCTTGTTAGTCTTTGGATTCTTAAATGTTATTAGTTCATACACAGCATTGGGATGGCTGCTGTTTTCCTATTAGTGCTTGCAGTATCTTCTTCAGTCAGTCCTTCGCTCTGTTGTAGTGTCTGGAAAACCTTAGGTTTCCTATGTGCCTGGTTCCTTGTTTTAAATATGAATTGAAAAGGTGAAAGGATTAAAATATGTTAAAAGGAAGAGGGGTTGATTTGAAACAAGGCCTTCCATACTCCAGGCATCCCAAGGTGAAATTCACTCCTGAGCAGAGCTCCAGAAGAAGGCTCGTGCTTCATTTATTTCCAGCTGAGACCCAATTTTGAAGGCTTAAGTGGTGCATGACCCTCTGCACAAGAAGGAATTTCATCCTCAGAGTACTTTGATGGTAGTAAATATTCATAGTGCAGCAACTACCTAGCACAAGCAGCCATTATGTACTGAGGTATATCTCCCATACTAAGTTTTAATCATTCGCAGATACTCAAAGGGCCAATTAGGCTCCTAACTCCCATTGATTTTTCAGTGGAAATTAGGAGCCTAAATAAGTTTGAGGATCTGGGCCTTTGAGCCTTTTCTCTTGAGTGACCATATTGGCCAGGACACTAGCATCACCCACCACTGTTTTCTAAAAGTGCTACAGGAACCTTCCCCGAGCCCCCAAAAAAGCACATTTTGATTTTATTGTACAACTTTTTCTGAAGGAAATACAGTTTCGCCCCAAACTATAAGACTAAAGTTTATTTTGCTTATCGTGTTTTTAAAAAGATAAACCTTCTTAAAGAGTCCCTAATAGTTGCAGAAGTTATGAGTCAATCGCCAGCTGTTAAACCCAGAAGATCTGCTTCTTACAGATAAGACAGACAAATAGGAGAAGTGCCTTGGCAAATGAGGGCAGAACACTGTGGACTGGGCTTACCAAACACTCGCTTTCTGGTAATGATGAGTGTTGATTTTTAAGAAAATAAAACATCATGCGTGTTTGGGCTTTAGGGGTGGGGGGGGAGAGATACTTGATACTATTCAAGAGTCCAATAATCTCTCTTTCTCCCCCTCCCCCTCCCCCCGGAAAATCTTCTAAGGATCATGGTCTGCTCATAAACATGTGTTACCTGGCCTTTACCACACAGCCAGGTAATCCAAAACTCCTCTGGAAGGCCACTGGGTCAGAGAATGGAAGGGAATAGCTGCCACTGCACACAACGGGAGTCCTGGAGCTGCTCAATGCGCTGGTAAAGCCAGATTCTCTCCTGCAATCTGTTCTGCTCAGCATGGGGAGGAGCTGCTTATGGCTCCCTGATTCTCAGGTTGCCCCAGCCCCAATCTAAGGAGGGGCTGCTCTAACTTACAACAGCTGGATATGGTCTCTAAGGGCCGTTTGTAACTTGGCAGAGAGGAGCGGCACTCTTTTCTGCCACCAGCCTGTCACTCACGACCTTTCCCGGGTCCTTCCCCGCCTGTGCCAGCACGGGGTAAGGCAGCTGGCGCGGCTGCGGTCTCTGCTAGCTTAGTGCCAGCTGACCGTTCCCCCACACGCACACCTGGGGAATTCTCAGCCTGGCAGCAGCAGCCAGATTCTGACCACTTTGCCGTGTTCAAGCAGCACAAAGGGGCTGTGACCAGGGCAGGCAGCCTGGCCCTCGATCCCTCGCGTGATTTTGTCACGCTACTGTTAGAGCTGCTGTTTAGATAGAGAATACAGGGCCTCGCCTGACTCACCAGTGGGACCCTGTAACCCAGTAGTGAATCAGGCCCAACGTATGTAAAAAAAAAAATCTATTTGGGGGTGGGGAGGAGTTGACTTCTGTAAACCAGTTTAAATCTTCCTCTTCTAGACTGTTGTGCTACCCCAATACAGTATGTGTGATGTCAGTGGGATCAGAGAGACAAAGGAATGTGATCAGACTATTACCTATGGTGCAGTGGTCCTTCTTAACAGAATATCTAATCACATCTTCAACATTTTAAGTGGTTGGGCTTCTATTAGCTCCTTGGGGAGGCCAGGCCCCTGCCCATCTGCTTTCGCAGCTATGAATCTCTTCCTAATATTTAACCTACGCTATCCCTTCATTAGTTTGAGGTTACTGTTCCCTGTAATACCATCATCTGGGACTGTGAATAATTCCTTTACTTTATTTATATTGTGATTTTGATGGCTTTTACAGACTATAGTCCTTTGTGCCCCTTCAGTCATCTCTGTTCTCCACCCTATAAATTCTTTGATCTTGTCTTCTATCTTATCTCCCAATCCTTTTGCCCTTTTTGTTGCCCTGTTTTAAATTTTCTCTACTTTTGTATTTCCATCCTAGACTGGGGGGGGGGGGGGGGACCAAAATTGGAGGTGGTAGTCCTGGAGGAAAGATGGTCTTGTGGGTAAATGCTGAGCTAGAACTAGCTCAGACATAGGCTTCCTCTATGACCTTGGACAAGTTAATTTAATCTACTCTCTGCCTCAGTTCTCGATCTCTAAAATTAGGATAATATAATGAGAACATAAGAATGACCCTACTGGATCAGACCAAGGATCCATCTAGCCCAGTATCCTGGCTTCCAACAGTGGCCAATGCCAGATGCCCCAAAGGGAATGAACAGAACAGGCAATCATCAAGTGATCCATCCCCTGTTGCTCATTCCCAGCTTCTGGCAAACTGAGGCTAGGGACAACATTCCTGCCCATCCTGGCTAATAGCTATTGATGGACCTACCCTCCATGAACTTATCTAGTTCTTTTTTTGAGCCCTGTTATGGTCTTGGCCTTCACAACATCCTCTGGCAAGGAGTTCCACAGGTTGACTGTGCGTTGAGTGAAGAAATACTTCCTTTTGTTTGTTTTAAACCTGCTGCATATTAATTTCATTTGGTGACCCCTAGTTCTTTTGTTATGAGAAATAGTAAACAACACTTCCTTATCTACTTTCTCTACACCAGTCATGATTTTATATACCTCAATCATATCTCTTCTTAGCTGTCTCTTTTCCAAGCTGAAAAATCCCAGTCTTATTAATCTCTCCTCATACGAAAGCCATTCCATACCCTTAATCATTTTTGTTGCCCTTTTCTGAACCTTTTCCAATTCCAATATATCTTTTTTGAGATGGGGCGACCGCATCTGCACACAGTATTCAAGATGTGGGTGTACCATGGATTTATATAGAGGCAACGTGATATTTTCTGTTCTATTATCTATCCCTTTCTTAATGATTCCCAGCATTCTGTTCGCTTTTTTGACTGCTGCTGTACATTGAGTGGATGTTTTCAGAGAACTTCCCTACATCACAGTGGTGTTGTGAGGGTAAGATGCATTCATGATTGTGAGGTGCTTGGATTCTGTGATAAGGAGAGCCATATAAGTGCTTAAATATTCCAGTGTCTGTTACACCAAGGCTATGAAGAGCTATGTATTATCTCCTTAGTTTTACATATCCTTGGTGCAACAGTGATATGCGTTAATTACTAAGTGGAAGGAACTTCATAGTGTTACCCTCACCACTTCGGTATTATACTCGGATAACTGGCTGATTATCTCCGGCAAAATGGTAAAGGTGGTTATTATAAATAATGAAGTACTTAGGCTGCACTTTTCATCTTCAGTCACTTTACAACCATTAACTATTTAATCCACACCAGACCCATGGGAAGTAGAAACATATTATTACCCCATTTTTACAGATAGGGAAAATGGAGTGGGAAAATCTAAGGCGCTGATCATCTACAGTTGAAATCATTAGGAGCTGGGGGTGTTTAACACCTCTGAAAATCAGACTGCTTATCTCCCTTAATTTGGATGTAAGTGCCAGTTTTCAGCCATCCCAGTTTAAAACGTTTGCCTTTATACATACAGGGCCCACTTTGCAAACATAGGCACCTAAGGAAGATTCCGTGTGCCTGATATATAAAGGACAGGCTCTCAGCTAGAAGACTTGGGGACACATTTTAAAAGGGCCTGAGTCCTTTAACTCAAGCTGTAGAGGCTCTGGAGGATGTAAGGGTCAATCCTTGGTGGGAACCAAGATGATAGTCACTACACAAATCTTGTATTTGAATGGCATGTAAGCACATAAACAGGAATTTAAGCTCCTAAGTGCTGCTCTAAGCATTTGCACATCTTGTATAGGGCCCTCTTTGGAGATTTGGGCTTGTCCTTGCACTAACATTGTGATAGACTCAACACACAATCCTGCCACACCACAAATTTCTTAGCTGGCTGCAGATACTTTTTCAGAGGAGACAACCTAAGATGGCAGCCATGAGCCTGCCCTTATTGTTGATGTTCAAACATGGTTTTCACTTAAGTAAGCTGGAGCAGAGGAAAAACGAGACACTTTCTTGGATCTATCCCGTCTGAGCAGCTCGATGCAACAGCTGCTTTGAAAGCAGGGAATACATTGTTTTCACTGGAAAAAGCCTTTCTCAGCATGGCCTATATTGGGAGCGAATCTAATGTGTCAGCTAGACTTTGACAGTTCTTGCAAGGACCTGAAAAACTGCTCACTTTAGGACACTTTGACTCTGGATCTGAAGTATGTGGCTTTAGGCCCAGCTTTCATTGCTATCACTTAGCCGTTTTATGGGGCCATGTAAAATGGAGACAAGAAACTAGCCAGTGACTCCGATAATAAGCAAGACTGCTAAAGTGAGCAAGGTATTTTTGCCATCCTGAGGGAAGCTAAGAGAGATTGGAGAAAAAAATTAACCTGGTTAACACCATGCCACAGTGGAGTTGGACAAGGCTTCTGCTGATTTGTTCTCCCATGCACTCAGCAACCTGCTGTTATGAATTGCCTCAGGGCTAAGATATTGATGGCTATCACTGGAGAAAGAAAATGAGAGAGAGAGAGACGCGGTTTTTATAGTGAACCTGTTGTGAACCCTGTGTGACTCTCTGCATATCTACTTGAAATTGTATGTGAAAAGCAATGAAATTTATCCTGAAGGTTTCCTATCAGGGGAACTATATTTTCACCTGATTGCACCTCTCTGGCTAGTTTCCCATTTTCTGTTTGATCTAACTGTGAATTCTCCCCCATCTAATGCCCCTCCTTCTTTCCTGGAGGTGGTTGATAGGAGTTGATTACACTGCGGATTACACAAGAGGTGTCAGTTGCACACATGTTTTGCATAACTGTGCAGGACTGATTTCAGATATAGTGCACCAAGTTCTCCTCCATGCTTTGCAACAGAGGGGGGAGATATATATCTTCATTCCTGAACCAAGAGGAACACTGCTTACACCATGCCCCATTGAAATTTCACAAGGAGCACCTGGTTATGATTATACCAACCAAACAATTATTCATAGGCTGAAAATGGTTGTTCTGGTGGTTTTTTTGTTTTTGTTTTGTTTTTCTTCAGAAAAGTGATCATTAAAAGATGTTCATTCTTTTGATTTTTTTTTTTATTTTTTTTTAATTTTATTTTATTTTTTAAGAATAAAACACAAAAAATACCTTTACGTGGGCTCTAGGCACCCTGACAGTTATCCACAAAGATGTCACCCAGCAGCACAGTACAATGAGAAAAGCTCACATACCAGCCCATGCAGCACAACACCCCACCTTCAGCCCATCCCAGAAGAGAGAAGGTTTTGTACTGTTGGCAAATGCCAGCTGTTTTGATTCAAGGGTGGGAGAATGAGTTTTATAGCCAGTTGACCTTTGTGGAGAGTACAAGCTGCCACCTCTCTCTTACAATGAGGTAGGTCAAGCTTGATCTCTGAACAGGATAGTCTTGTGGTTAAGGCATTGGAGTGGGGCTTGAGACCTGGGTCCAGTTCCTGGTTCTAGCACAGACTTCCTGTGTGACCTTGGGCAAGTCACTTAGTCTCTCTGTGCCTCAGTTCCCCATCTGTACAATGGGGATAATAGCTCTGCCCTACCTCACTGAGGGGGAAACATTAAAAAAGATTGTGAGGTGCAAATATACAATGGTGATGGGGACCAGATAAGGACCTGACATATATAGTCCTTAGGCAAGTCACTCGCTTTCTTTGTGCCTCAGCCCCCATCTGTAAAATGGGTATTATAGCACTTCCTTTTCTCCCACCTCTTGCCTATTCAGATTGTAAGACCATCTATGCACTATAACTGAGCTAGTGTGACATGGGAAGATGGATGCTCTCTCAGGCAGGCAGATCCCAGGCTATTTCGGGCTTCAAACTCCTACTGGAAGACAGGCCCATTACCTGTAAAGAATACATTGCTGAGAAATTGATGATGGAGTTTTTATATAGAAAGGCCTTGGGTCCATAAAATCTTCCTCATTTGTGTGCTGTTCATCTATGTGCATTTTGCTCATCTCCTTGGAGATAGTGACTTGCATCAGAACAGCTAACCTTGACTGTAGAAGGCCTGGCATTTCTAGCTTGTGGGAGGGGAACGAAGCTGGAGCTATGCTGCTATAATTTCCAACGGACATAAAGTGAAATTTTTGTACGATCTGATTAGAGCAGAAACAGTTCTGTACAATGTTTTCCATTGAACATCTTGCCCTGTTACATCCCACATTAACACATCTCACATATTTTGCATGAGGAGTGCGGGGTTTTGAGTTTGTTTCATGGTTCTAACCCCATCCCCATTTGTGAAACTTCCACCCAGTCTTTCTTCTGTCCGAATAGCTGAATCTGCGGGATTGGTATGTTTGGAACTCTGTGGCAGTGGCGAGGCTGTGTGCCAGCTGCATTACTCACTCTGTCTCCAAAGGAACATGTTGCCTCTTTTCTTTATAATCTCCACCCTCTCCCCCTTTCTTTTTCCCACTTGATCCGTATAGGAGAGTTAGAGAAACCTGCTCATCCACAACCTGTCCCTTCTTGCCAATTCTTGGAACAGCGCTCGTCATTTCTTGTTAGGTGTCAGGAATAGATTATGAAAACAAAAACTCTTGTCCACAGTGTATCCATGTTCAGGGGGAGGGATAGCTCAGTGGTTTGAGCATTGGCCTGCTAAACCCAGTGTTCTGAGTTCAATCCTTGAGGGGGCCACTTAGGGATCTGGGGCAAAAATCAGTACTTGGTCCTGCTAGTAAAGGCAGGGGGCTGGAATTGATGACCTTTCAGGGTCCCTTCCAGTTCTATGAGATAGGTATATCTCCATTTAAAAACAGAAAAAAAAATAGCTATACTGTAAAAGAAAAGTCAGTGTACAGTAAAGACGTGATTTAAAAGATGAGTCCAATAAAGACAGCTAGCTTTTGGAAGAGGCTTTTTATTCTGAATTTCATATTACAACACTGCTTTTTCTCCTCTAAAATGCCAGTGTGGAATGGGGAAATGATTTAAGGCAAAAGCAAAGCACATTCATGGAGATTTGAAACTTAATCTTAACTATGCTGCATCTTAAAATGACAGGAGGAAGGAAGGGATAAGGTATTTACATAAATCTTTTAAACAGAAGGAGTGAGGTTTTGATCTCTATTATGGTTGGGCAAATCTGAAAAAAAAAAATCCATTGGTTTCAATGGAATTCTTCTGGTTTTGCAGCACTGCAAATCCCAAGTGTTCAAAAATCAAGAGTCAAGACTCAAAATCAGTCATGGGCTTCAAAATTACAAGATTGTAAAATAATAAATTTGAAGTTCTTTTTATTGGCCTTCTGGTGTTTGAGCCTTTAGGGTTAACGTTTCCAAGGTCTCCTCCACAATCATATGGGCTAGAAACTTCCTTTTAAAAAAGGGAAACCTGAGATTCTTCTATAATCACCTAATTGCTGGAGCTGGAACTTTACGAAAAACACCAATTGTTGTGAGACTTGCAGTACAACTGCAAAGAGTTGGCAACAGTGGCATCAGATCTGGCTCCATGTAGGTAGCTACCCCAACCCTGGGGAAAATGCAGGGATAATTTTTCAGCATGATGTGTTGGAATGAATCCACTTGACTCCTAACAGTGGAGCATCTCCCAATAAAACAACATAGCTAAACCTTTATGCACCACAGTGTAACTGTCCACATTAGACCTACTAAGACAGAGGTGGGCAAACTACGGCCCGCGGGCCACATCCGGCCTGCAGGACCATCCTGCCCGGCCTTTGAGCTCCCGGCCGGGGAGGCTAGTCTCGGGCCCCTCCCCTGCTGTCCCGCCTCCCCTGCAGCCACGCCGCCGCGTGGGCAGTGCTCTGGGCGGCGGGGTTGTGTGCTCCTGCCGAGCAGTGCGGCAGCGTGTCTGGCCCTGGCCAGGCAGCAGGGCTGGGAGCTCCTGCTGCTCTGAGCGGCATGGTAAGGGGGCCAGGGCCGGGGGATTAGATAAGGGGTGGGAGGTCCCAGGAGGCAGTCAGGGGACAGGGAGCAGGGGGCGGTTGGATGGGGCAGAGGTTCTGGGGGATGGTCGGGGGACAGGGAGGAGGTTGGATAAGCGTGGGAGTCCCAGGGGGGCCTGTCAAGGGGTGGGGGTGTGGATAGGGGTCAGAGCAGTCAGGGGACCGGAAGCAGGGGGGTTGGATAGGGGATTGGATAGGGGGCGGGGTTCCAGGGGCGGTTAGGGGCGGGGAGTTCTGGAAGGGGCGGTTAGGGGACAAGGAGCGGGGGGGCTGGATGGGTGGGGAGTTTTGAGGAGGGCAGTCAGAGGGTGGGAAGTGGGAGATAGGGGGTGAGGGCCAGGCTGTTTGGGGAGGCACAGCCTTCCCTACCTGGTCCTCCATACAGTTTTGCAACCCCCAATGTGGCCCCTGGGCCAAAAAGTTTGCCCACCCCTGTACTAAGAGAATGCAACTCCATTGATGTCAGTGATCTTATGTAAGGGATTCATTTGTCCCAAAGGGGTAGTGATGAGTGAGCCTCAAAAGATGTGGAGTTTGGGTTCAGTTCAGATTCATATTCAAACTTTGTCTACACTATTCTAACCTTCTGAGTCTGATGAAAATTTTGCAAGAACAGGCTCTCTCATAAGGTTGCCACCACTTCTGCTGTAGTCCATGCTGAAAATACAGTTACAACAATTGTTCTAGTATTACTTTGGGGCTTTCGGGTCCAGTCGTGATTGAAACATCTATGAACAGACCTATGGGAACAATCCAGAACCTTCCAAAAGGTTTGCGTTCCGTTTAGTTCTTGAAAGGAGGGATTGGCGAGTCTTTTTGCAGAACCAATTAACCCATCCCTAATTAAAGGTTCTCAGATATTCATATAAGAGCCAGATGCTGGCCTCCAGGAAGGGCAAACCAGCCTTAAACCTGCTCTCACTGGTGGGAATGAGTCCCAGTCCACCATAGAGACAGTAGCACCATGATCTGCTGGCAACTTAACATAGCATTGTGCCAGTGATAGGTCAGGGGCCCGCTGGAGGAGGAGGATATGCCTGGATGGCACAACAGTCCGACAGTTCTCAGCCAATATTACAAACTGGCGTAGGCTACAGCAGCCTTGAGGCCTCCCCTTGACGTAAATGAGCCAAGTGGCGCTCTGGTGCAAGTGAGGCTCTAACTCCTCAGGCCCTGCCAGTTGGTCCCCTTCTCTCTGCAACTGCCTGATCAGCTTCAGCCTTTATTTTTGTATTGCCGATGAACTGAAACATCCATGCATCTCTATTTGCCTATCAAGGAAAGAACAAGCAGGAGCAAACGCTTTGGTGGAGAGCCTCAGTTTTTGATAAAAAGAAGAGTTCATATCTACATCCAAATTCTGTGTGGCCCACGGGCCCCTGGCATGCTGTGCCCAGTTAGTCCTTGGGCAGGCTTGGTTTGCAGCTAAGGAAATAAGGTGATGTAATAAGAGCACCTAAAAATGTAAGTAGCTCTAATATAAGAGTGTTTTTTTTCTTAAAGTCACAGCTCCTGAAGTCAGATGACCACAAGAGAATCACAGTGTAAATATTCTTCAGGGTGGTGGAGTTAATACAGGCCAAGCTCCTATTGAATTACTGTTGACTTCAGTACGAGTTGGTGGTGCCCAGTACCTCACAGAATCAGGCCCTTTGTTTTGAATGTGTTCGCTAACTAAATTATTATTTCTATTACATTACCATCGTGATTATTATTTCTAAAGTCTGCGAAACAAAAGCAGGGCCCCATTCTGCTAGGGGCTGTACACACACCTAGTGAGAGACGGTCACTGCCGAAAGAGTTGACTATCTCAGTATAAAAGCCAGGAAAAGGATAGGAGGAAGGAAGGCTTATTATCCCCATTTTGCAAGTGGTTCACTGAGGCACAGACGTATTAAGTGACTTGGGCACACAAGGAGTCTGTGACACAGCTGGGAACTAAGCACAGATCTCCTAAGTCCCCAACCAATGCCTTAACTGCAAGACTACTTTTCCTCAAACTTAAAAAAAAAAATAATAATAATAATATTAAAATAGGAAAGAGGAGGGAAAAAACCTTGTGAAAGCAAAGATGTTTTGCCCCCTCAGCACTGAGAGAATGATAAGCTTTATACTTTCCCTCAAACTGCATTTAAAATTATGGAAAGAAGCAACCAGCTCTGAACTTTCTCATGGAAACTTCTCCGGTGCATATTTTTTTTAACTGCTCCATGATCCTGAAATTCTGTTAATGCATTAGAGTTTCCTAAGTTCACTGTTTTAACGTCTCTGCTTCCACACAGTGTACCAATGGGTTTAGAATTCTCGGTTTTGTTTTCTGTAACTGCTCTGCCTTAACTTTCAGTGCAGACAGTTTCACGGGGGGGGGGCAGAGGTTAGTCTTTTGGTTTAATTTTACACCTGTATTTTATTTCCTTTTCCTTTGTCCTCTTCTCTTTTTCAGGCTTTACAGTTTGAATTCATCTAGTGCTTGTATTGCAAAACTAATTGCATTGGTAATCAAGCAAACTTTGAATGTTTTAAGGAACTGCAAATTCTCCAGAAGAAGTGGGAAGGGTATTAAGGCTAACAGGAATTGCTGCATTTTATTACCTGACACACATTAATGTAGCCTTACTGTCAGAGGTAGGCACTTGTTGTAGAGGTTTTCAGTAGAAGAGAGGCCGTCCGATACCCAAGATTCATTTTTCATATAGTTAAGAGACTGTCCCCCTTTTTAAAATACATCTTTCTTGTTTCTGTTCTGGCGGCTCCACAGAATTAGACCCACAAAAGATGATCCTGATTTTTCTCTCACGTGCTGCACAGCCTCACTCCAGCACTGTTCCCATCTGGGGCTTTGTACTCAACACCCTATGAATAGCAGAGAGATTCTGTCCCTAGTTGTCTGTGGCTTATGCTCCATATCCCCTTGCCCACACCTAGCAGGGAACCATCAGTAATGATATCCAGTGCAATCATCTGAGCACGCTGAGAGAGCACTTCCATGCTAGAGCTAAGGGAAGAGCTTTCCGAAACAGACTGATTGGCAAGATCAAAGCAACGAGCAACTCTAAAAGTTAAATGCCCAAAGTCATGTGCCCTCAGTTCATGACTGTGGGCACTGTGCCTTCTGAGCACACGCGCAGGTTCTTCGAGACCAAGTTAGTGGTTAATTCTCTATTTAGAGAGCACTGATCCCAGCTGGAACAGTAAACTACTGGCTATATCCTGATTGCGCTTCTAGCGGCAGATAAGAGCTCAAATTATTGCTGGAGGAACTTTTAGAGTGGGATTTTCAAAAGCAGAGTTAGGTCCAAGGCTGAGTGCTCTTGAATATTCCACTTAAAAAAAAAAAATGTTCCCTGTAGTTTGTTTCCCTGTAGTCCATGTATTTTTGTGAGGTCTGTTTGCCGAGGGCAATGGCGGGTTAAGGGCAGAGGGACTCAATCGGATTGGTTTCTCTCTGACCCTGTTTGACACATGGAAGAGAAGACACAAATGAATGCTTGAGCAGCTGCTATTTGGGAGGATAACGTTGTAGGGTGTGCTGAACTGCTCATCGGGCGGTGGGGGGAGAGAAATTATAATTCTAGAGTCTCTCCTGTTTTTGGAAGCAGTACTGGCTTTGTTGGATACTGCCCTTGATCAAAGTAGGTGACAACTTCCTAATCTGCTGCTTAGCAGAAATGAGGATCTGGCAATATTTTCCCTGTCACTGTCATCTCCATGACAACTTGTTAAAAATCTGTTTTCAAAACTGGTCTTTGAACGTTGGGAAGAGGGGAAATGAAGCTATTGAAATGAAAACCAGAACATGAAGATAGGTCTCGAGTGTCTGTTCTCCCTGTCTCAGAACACACAAACAAGGATACGTTCAGTGAAACTGAAAGACGGCAAGTTCAAAACTGATGCACTGAAATATTTTCCTTACAGAATGCTGAATTGAGACCATGGAATTCATTGCCACATGATATGACTGAAAGCTACGAATTTAGCAAGATCTAAGGAAGGATTGGGCATTTCTGTGGATAACTAGATTATCCAGAGTTATAGTGCTTTTAAAAAAAATATTTTGGAAGGGACAAGACCATCATAGAGGATAGATTATCCGACATTTGCCTACTGCACCTTTCTCTGAGACCGCTGGTGCTGGCCACTGTCAGTCAGTCTGGTCAGACCTTTCATTTCTTGTGTCGCCAGTTCAATATTCTCATTATATAGGCCTTCTGTATTCTGAAAACACTTAGGACCAGATTTTGCTACCCTCACTCACCTTGAGTGGTACCTTGCTTGACACTGAAGTCAATGGGACTGCTTGTGGAGTAAAATGCTACTCAGCTTGAGTAAGGGTGGCAGAATTTGGCCTTTTAACTTTCCTTTTTGTCTTTGGGACAAATTGCTGCCCTCACAATTCTGGGCAGTGAACATACTTGCTGTGGACATTATGGTAAAGTGCTACAGGGACTCAGTATGGCGTACAAGAGATCACACTTTAAAGAAAAGAGTACCAGATCCTTAAGTGGTGTAAGTTAACTCCCGTGCAGCTATACCAGTTTACATCAGCTGAGTATCTGGCCCACAGTCTAGATTTGTTTTACGAAGAGAGAGAACCACCTGTCAAGGAGTGTTTGTCCAACAGCATTCCTGATGTGATCTGAAGATTCCACACCCTGCACTGCGTGCATGAGCAGTTCATCTCCAATTGGGATTGGTCAACGCAAACCTTCAGTTGCAAATCAGGTAGAGAACACCAGCCAGCTCCTTAAATTCCTTAGAGGCTGATGCACTAATTACGCAGACCAGAAAAATAAGTCAACCAAAGCACTTGCTTTCTTCTGTTTTTTGCTGAAACTGGATTAAAACCGAAAGAAACTCATTGGTCTATTTCAGAAGGTTTATTATGTAAATCGATTTGCACGCAGCATGCCACATCCACAGTACTATAACGCTAAAGGTCTGAACAGCAGTAGAAAGTCCAGAGCCAGTACATTCAGTTAAGGCTTCGTTTCTATCCTTAACACACTCCTTCCCATGCACCTTTGGTGCCTAAGTATTGTAGATAGGGATGTCTTTTGCTGTGGGGGATGCCAAATTTTAAATGATCCTATATATCCCCTGCAATGGTTCCCCCACCTCAAAAGAAAGTTATAGCCAGGAAGATTAAATCCCACAGCATTTAAATAACTGTCATCTTGCAATCTGAAAAACGCCCATTTACTTAGGAACTTCCTGGTTTTTATTAGTTTATCTCACAACCTCAGTGCTATTTAAACAGCAGTTTTAATAGCATTTAACCCTTTGAGTGTCTGCTATAAAATTCATGGGAGCTTTACAGAAGTCAGGTATACCTGAGAGACTGGGAGAATGTTCTGATCTTGCAAAGAACGAGGTAGTGTGTTTGGATCATACTCACTAAACCTTTGGGTTGAGACTTTCCTAAACTACATATGGGATCTGGGGGCCTGATTCTCATTAATTCTGAATGAGACAGGAGCACCGAGATCATGTAGGCAGCTTTGAAAATCTCCCTCTTAATACCCAAGGGAGGCGGAAATTACAAGCAAAGGAAAATATACCAGAAGAGTGTCTATCCATTAAAAGGCATGTTGGATGAGTGTAGCTACTTTCAATGGCAAATCAAATCATATATAAAGCCTCTGTGGTCCCCAGCAGTCATTTAAAATGGGGAAAGTAAATTTGTGAGGCTTCTCTTTATTCCTTCCCTCTCTCATCATGCTTTGCAGGTATCCAGCTGGGAGGGAGCCTCCTTGCCCCTCTCCATCACGAGGGATCAGCAGAGACTCAATTCCCCCCCCCCCCCCCCCCCCTCCCGTGTGCTGTCACAGAATCCCCTCCCCTCTTTCCCCCCGACTCCCAAAAAAGGATCCAGCTGTTCCCATGCCATTAGGCCTGTCTGTCCACCCTTCTGCCTAATTGAATGGAGAATGTCCCTGTGATGAGCACTCTGCCCTTTTCACCTGAGCACTGTTCACAAGACATTTCCCCCTCTGGTCATAGCAGTGTAATCTCAGACACCACCTGGCAAAGGCAGACGCAGAGGGGAATTGCAGGACCCTTCAGGAAATGCAGGTTATCTGGCATCCCCAAAGTTGGAGCATGGCATGCCCTCTTTCACCTGGTACTGTGACAGCTAATGGTAAAATGGATTCTTTGATCTAAACCAGACATGGGCAAACTACGGCCTGCGGGCCACATCTGGCCTGTGGGACCGTCCTGCCCGGCCCTTGAGCTCCCGGCTGGGGAGCCTAGTCCCTGCTGTCCCCGCTCCCCGCAGCCATGCCGGCCGCGCTCTGGCCCGTCGCTCCCGCTGGGCAGCGTGGGGAGCGCAGCTCGCTCTGGCTGGGTGTTGTGGCTGCGAGCTCCTGCTGCTGGTAAGGGGGCGGGAGGTCCTGGGGGGCAGTCAGGGAGGAGGGGGCGGTTGGATGGGGTGGAGGTTTTGGGGGGGCGGTCAGGGGATGGAGAACAGGGAGGGTTGGGAGTGGGAGTCCCAGGTGGCCTGTCAGGTGGTGGAGATGTGGATAGGGGTTGGGAGGGCAGTCAGGTGACAGGGACGGGGGGGTTAGATAAGGGGGTGGGATCCTGGGGGGCAGTTAGGGGCGAGGGGTCCCGGGAGGGGGTGGTCAGGGGACAAGGAGCAGAGGGTGGTTGGATAGGGAGTGGGAGTCCCGGGGGGTCTGTCAGGGGGCGGGGATGTGGATAGAGGTTGGGGCAGTCAGGGGACAGGGAGCAGGGGGGTTGGATGAGGGCGGGGGTCCTGGGAGGGGGCGGTCAGGGGACAAGGAGCAGGGGGGTTGAGGTTTCTGAGGGGGGCAGTCAGGGGGCGGGAAGTGGGAGGGGGCGGATAGGGGGCAGGGGCCAGGCTGTTTGAGGAGGCACAGCCTTCCCTACTGGGCCCTCCATACAGTTGCGCAACCCTGATGTGGCCCTCAGGCCAAAAAGTTTGCCCACCCCTGATCTAAACAAACACACTTTTGGGATAGAATCGTAGGACTGGAAGGGACCTCGAGAGGTCATCTAGTCCAGTCCCCTGCACTCAAGGCAGGACTAAGTATTATCTGGACCATTCCTGA